TTAGGAGGAGTGCAAGCAGTAGAACCAGACGGCCAGTTCAGGCGGCTGGACCCAGAAGGCGGGGTCGAGCGAGCGGGTTCTGAAGCGTCACTCCAACATGAATCGCGAGGGAGTTTCGAGCGATAGCGCGATTCCCATGTAGATCGCGAGGAAGCCCAAAGAGAGAGAGAGAGAGAGCGTGTTTCCTGAGTATCGAAGGCGCAGCGTCTCAACACATTGCGAGACACAAAAAAAAACCGCGAGAGCGAGACTTATTGCTAAATTGTTACGAATATCCGCGATTTTGAATTAAATGTGAACCAATATCAGGCGGGAGCCGATGTTGCCTTAAACCGTGGGCTAGGGGCACAATCTGAGCCTCAAGACTTTCCATTGTAAGACACGAGGTGCTAGCCCCTGGAGGAGCACTTTCATTCCAAAACGCCATGGGCACCAGGGAGGGAGGACCACATACAATTACTTTTCAGAAGCAGGAGCTCCAAACATAATCGGTTCGCTTTGATCTGCTCGCGTGTCACTCAACATGTATATCCTGAACCCTCGATCCCCCCGCCCTCTTCGTCTTCGATCGTACCCCTCTAGGTGGTGTATCTCGGAATCCACCGAAAAGGAGGTGCCCCCGAGGGGGGGCACGAGTTCGATCCGTTAATTAGCGCACCGACCTGCCGCAAACAGATGCACCCCGCATTCCCACCAATCGGCAACTATCGGGAGTTGCCAGCGGCTGGGGGGCATCTGTTTGGGCGGCTCGGTGCAAAAACCGATCGAACTCACACCCCCCCTGGGGCACACACCCCTTTGCGGGATCCCGAATATCCTCCTGACCTGCCACGTGTACTTGGAGCACCCCCTAAAACAGAATGAGAAAGGCGGGAAGGGACAAGGGAGATGGAGAAGGACGGAGGACGAGAGAGACGAGCAGGAGGGGAGGTCGGGAGAAAGACAAGCAAGCGGCAGAACTCTACGAACAGGTCGGGCGGCTGGACCCTGACGATCGGGTCGGGCGGGCGGGCCCGCCGTCGACGCCCGGGGCGCCCGCGGTGCCTGTGGCGCCCGCGGCTCTCACGGCCCCCCCCCAGCGGCGCCCGCGGCGCCAACGGCGACGCCAGCGACCACGCCGCCCGCCGCCGCTACTGCCGGCGAGGCACGAGCAGCGGCGGCAGCGGCGGCGGCCGCAGCGGCCAGGGCAGGCCCGCCGCCCGCGGGTATGCGGGGGCCGAGGCGGCCGTGAGGCCGCCCAGGGCGGAAGGCGCCGGCAGCCCGCAAGAGGCTGCCGCGGCGGGCGCGCTGGGGGGCCGGGCCACCGGCGCCGGCGCCGGGGAGCCGGCAGCCTGCAGCGAGAGCAGCGGCAGCAGCACCCGGGGCCGCCGCGGCGCCGCCGCCGGCCACCAGCGCGGCCCCCCGCGGGAACGCCTGGGCGGCCCCCCGCGGGAACGCCTGGAGAGGCGCCCACCCCCCAGCACGGCGGAGGTCGGGACCGACCCCGGGCTCCAAGCGCACGGCCAGCTCGCCGGACCTCGGACCAGAGCGGCTTCCTTGAGCCAGAGTTACTGACTACCTACCAGACCACCCCAACCCAAACCGAAGACCCGAATTTCGGGATGGGGGGAGTACGGGCTCCATGTGCGTGTGTGAGAGAGAGAGAGTATGTGTGTATGTTGAGTGTTGTGTGTTGTATGCTGTGTGTGAATGTGTGTGAATGTGTGTTGTGTATTGTATGTGTTGTGTGTGAGCGTGCTGTGTTGTGTGTTGTGTGTTGTGTGTCGTGTGTGTTGTGTGAGTGTTTCCGTGCTTCCCGACCCACCATCACTGGGAGTGGAGGGTAAACTGGGGCCTTCGGGTTGGGATTGGGGTGGTTTAGTGGGTAGTGAGCTACGGGATCATCAGATCAGACAGACACGCTACGGCACGAGTTCTGCTCCGCTGGGTCTTTGGCACGTGACGGGCGCTTCTTGAAGTGTACAAGTCGGGGGGCTCTTCGAGGTGCTTGCGGATCTTGCCCATGCAGCGGACTGTTCTCTGAACTGAAGGGCGCAGAGCCTCTTGGCAGCCCAGCTGCTGGGGGGCCCACAGCGCACTCGAGGCTCGCATGATTGCACCAAGTATGGAATCAAATGTCTTGGCCCCTGCGCTGATCGGAATCATGGTGTTCGTCAGGAGTCTGGCGTTCAGGTAGAACACTGGTCTGATGGTCAACTATGTGTTCGTGATGTCTTCTTCGACACTTCCGTTACAGCAGATGGTATGCCCCAGGACTCGGAGAGACGGAACTACCTTCCACAGGAGGTTGTCTGAGTCTCTAAACTCCGCCTCTGGATACCAAGTGCTCCATGATCTGATGATCTCCCTGCTTGATTATTCCAGCACCAGGAGGCGTTGGCTCTTAAACTGGGACCCCCATCATGTTATCATTCCGATGGCCTCCTCCACCGCGAAGGTAGAGATGTTGTCACTCAAAGCTGCTAGGCACAACATCCGAGAACCCGTGCATGGTCCAACCGACTGATTCAACCACCTTTATTGACGCACCGCTGCGGTGCCCGCTATCGAAACTCTAGCTGGCATGCCTGCGAGCTGTGAAACCGAGCAGCAGAGAAGGACGAAGACGTACGCGGACCGCCAGCGGGGCGATTCTGCATAGAGGGCGGGCGCGGGCGGGCCCATTGAAACTGTGAAATCCACCGGGACCTCTTCGTGGAAGCATCTTGTAGAGATATCCACCCGCCATACAGGCAGGGACATCTTGGAAGCGCAACTGCCCAGGACGCTCCTGGAAGCCCTGCTGCACTTTTGAGGGCATTCTCGGAGAAGTGTCTGTGTGGTGCGAGCTGCGCGCGAGTCGCAGAAACAGAAGAGGACGAGGAAGAAAGTGGACCGCGAGAGACGGATTCTGCATAGAGGGCGGGCGCGGGCGGGCCCATTGAGACTGTAAGATATCCGCCCGCCCTCCAGGCAGGAACCTTTTGGAAGCGCAACTGCTCAGGACGCTCCACTTGCGAGGTCGCAGAAGCAAAAAGACAAACACCTCTGGGAAAGGAATATACCTGTGTGCAGATGTAGAAAAACGGGCCCATTGAAACTGTGAAATCCACTGGAACCTCTTCGTGGGAGCCTCGTGTAAAGATATCCGCCCGCCATCCAAGCAGGGACCTCGTGGAAGCGCAACTGCTCAGGACGCTCCAAACAGCCGCGAGGTGGTAGCAGCCGGACACCTCTGGGAGAGGAATCTACCCGAGATGCCGATGTAGAGGGCGGCCCCATCGAAACTGTGAAATCCATCTGGACCTCTTCGTGGGAGCCTCTTGTAGAGATATCCACCCGCCATCAGGCAGGCACCTCTTGGAAACGCAACTGCTCAGGACGATCCAAGCTGCCTGCGAGGTCGCAGAAGCAAAAGAAAGAAAGTGGACCTCAAGAGACCGACTCTGCATAGGTGTCGGGCGCGGGCGGGCCCATTGAAACTGTGAAATCCACCAGGACCTCTTCGTGGGAGCCTCTTGTAGAAAATATCCGCTCGCCATCCAGGCAGGGACCTATTGAAAACGAAACTGCCCAAGACGCTCCAAGCTGCCGCCGAAGTCGCAGCAGCAAAAGGACACCGTTGGGAAGGCAATCTTCAAGAGTGCACGACCGCTCATCTGTTCAGATCTATTCGCGTCAGCATAATTAAAAAAAATCAGACATTCGGGTGGGATATGAAGGTTACGATGGAAACTGCAAGTCGCCTATGCTTACCTTTGCGCCACGTCGACAGCTCGGACGTGTCCAAGACTGACCACGGGTACCACTGCGACTGGCCATCATCGCAAATAAATCAGCAGAACAACGCGCGAATGGTTGCCCTCTGTCAACCGCCTGCGGCGCGTCCCGCGGCTGCCGACTCCATCCAAGGCCGAGCGCCATTTGCCATCGCTCAGGCGTGCGTTCTCCGTACATTGCCTGCTTTCGTGCGCATGCTCTTCTCAAGGAAACCCGGGATGCTCCAATATGGGTCAGGTATTCGGGCGTTTCTCCACCTGGTGCAGGCTTTCGCCCCAGATCCGTGCTCCAGCCCCAGGTCTAGAAAGCACCCCCCTAGGGCCGAAAAAGGCAACAGCAGAAAGCAACACAAACAAACAACTCTCCGAACCCATTACCCCTAACCTGATGGGCTTGTTTTCGACCACCACCAGCATAAGTTGGATGGGGGGATGGAGGAGGACGAGGAGGAGGACGAAGAGGAGGAGGATGAGGAGGAGGAGGACGAGGAGGAGGAGGAGGAGGAGAAGGAAGAGGAGGAGGAGGAGAGGAGGAGGAGGAGGAGCAGGAGGAGGAGGACCCCCTCCACCTCCAACTTATGGTGGTGGTGGTGGAAAACAGGCCCATCATAACCTGCCCGAGCCCTTCTTGCTGGCTGGAGCCTGTGCTGGGCCACCACAGACCCCCTGACGGCGCCAACGCTGGCCTCGCCTCATGCGGCACCCATCGCACTTAAGGACCGCATCGAATCAATCAACTGAAGCACCCATGGCCAGCCTCGAACCTACCCCTATCCCTAGATTGGCATTCCAAAATGCGATCACAATATCAGGGATGTGCCCTCAGAAACGAAGGGAATCCTTAAGATCGGCATGGAGATGAGGCGGTGCCAATCATAGGGATGGGGATATGTTCCAGGCTTGTAAACCCAAAGAACTATCGAAACATTGTCTGCCCGACACGCTGACGAAGTGTCGAACGAGGATGGCCTCCCAGGGCCCGGCACGTGAAGACCCTGCACCTCAGGCACTCTCCTGGTGCTCGAAATTCATTCTGGCGGTCAAGGCTAGAGCAGGTTGGAACATCATAAGCCTCGCAGAGAAATGCGCACGTCAGAGCGATGCCAAGACCCTGACAGCTGCCCGACGGGTCCGTCGCCGGACGCGGTCCGTCGCTCGCGGCCTCCGACTCCGAGGTCGGGCGCCACCCCACTGCCCAAGGAGCCGCGCCTCCGCGGCCCGTGGAGCGCGGGCCACTGCGGATCACCTGCCAGACCACCCCAACCCAACCCGAAGTCCAGACCCTCGGACTGGGGGGCGTGCGGTTCCACCTGAGCGACGATCGACAGCGGGTCTCACGCGAGATGACACAGCTGGCACAGCGACCTCGCGCGGTCGCTCACGCGGGCCGCAGGCGCGGCACACTGCGCTGGGAGCGAGGGCGCTCACGTGCGACCTTACGCGGGCAGCTTCTGCGAATGTCAGCGCAGACGGCCCCGTGGTTTTGCGTCGCTCACGTGTTTTTTTTCTTGTGCCTGGATGCCCCCCCACTGGGAGTGGAGGGCAAGTTGGGGCCTTCGGGTTGGGGTCGGATTGTTTGGTGGACAGTGGCCTGCCCCTCCTCGCCGACAGCGACCTCCCGGCGTGACTGGGGCGGGCCCAGGCGGGCGCCTCCTCTAGCAGAAGAGAACACTGCGTAACTGAACCATACGTTCTTGGAGCTCCGCGCGGACTTCTTGGATCTGTGCTGAACCCTCTCTCCGCGCGCCGAGCGCGCCAGGTGCGGCGCCCGGAGGCGCCGCCAGGGGGGCCCAGGTCCAAGAAATCCGCGCGGACCTGCGACAATGTTTGGTTGTGCTATGTTTCTGTTCCTCGGTCCTCGCCCGGGCGCGTGGGCCCAGCTGGCTCGCTGCCGAAATGGCTCGGGCCCGCGCAGTACGGGATCCTCTGGCGCTCGTCGACGACAGGCAGCTCTCGGCAGACTCTCTGGCCGGGAGGGCTCGGCAGATCCGCCTGCGTCGGTGGCTCAAGGAGGGGGTCCTCAAGGCTGGGGTCCTAAGGACGAAGTGCCTCAAACAACGTAAACCCACCTTTGGATCCCTTTCCGTCCTTAGGTCCCCATCCCTCAGGACCCCATCTTTGGACCATCGACTGCGGGCCTCCTCGCCTGATCCTCTGGCGGTCCTCCTCTGCTCGGCGAGGCTCGCCGCTGCGACAGGCGCGCCGAAGAACAGGGCGGGGGGCTCGCCCTCGCCGGTCGTCGCCATGGAGGGCGCCAGGGACTCCGCGGAGACGTCGGAGTCCGACCAAGTGTCGCTCGACTAGTCGCTCCTGGCCCCGCCGCTGGCCGGCTCCATCACAAGCAGCAGGGGGGCAGAGTAAGCCTCGGCAGAGGGCCGGGCCAATGTTCTGATGCCTGGGCGATGCTCGGGGAAGGTCTCTTGGCCCGTGACGAGACTCCTCATGTAGGGCACATCTCCGTCGTCAGTCCGCGGGCCCGAAATCTCAGGTTGGGGCTAGGGGCGCCAGGGCATGGCACGGCCCCCCCGTGGCCGCCCCAGGGGCGCCCACGGGTCATCCTGGGAGTCGAGGGCTGCCTCGGTGCGGGCGCCGCGCTGGATGCCTCCGCCCAGGCCGACGCTGGCCTTGGTCGCTGCTCGCTGACGGTGAGGAGATTGTCGCCCGCGAGGCCCGCCATCCCTGATAGACCACGAGTGGGGGGATCCCGTAGTGTAGCGCAGGGTGCCTCGCCGAAATGTTTACTCGAGCCGAGACGTGCGGCGAAATCTAATGTGAACTAATACGGGGGCGGGCCGAATTGTGGTGAAATGAATTGAGCCGAACTGAGCTCCCGGCTAAGTAAAGCATGCTGCCATAACCCCTTCTGTCCCTGTTCGGATAGGGGTGTATCTCTGTCCCTTATCCTCCATATCCTGAGATGGGGGTCTTGTTTTCAGTGTGACGCCTCCGCCTCCTCATCCTCTCCTCCCGAGTCCTCCTCACTCCTCTCTGTTGCGCTGTCAATCGCACTCAACCGCTTATACTTCCAAGAACCCATACTCAGGTCCCGTCACAGGCAATCTCCCTCCCACAGACACTCTTACTCAGCACAGTCACACTCAGATTCACTCATACTCAGACTCACTAATGCTCAGGTTCACTCACTTTCAGACTTCATACTCAAACTTATCCCCCGCATCCTGAGATTGGGCCATCGTCCCCCATATGCTACGATATAATGACTGCTTTGATTAGTGTGACGCCCCCACCTCCTTACACCTCCCACCTCCTCCCTTCTCCCTCCTCGTACTCTGGCATCCACGCACGCTCATGCTCACCATTTTCATACTCCACTCCAGTCGCACTCATGCTCAGAACATTCACACGCAAACTCATCCGCCCTCACGCTCACTCGCAACGAGACTCGCCCTTCTAAAATCAGAGCTCGTTCCCGCACAACGCACGAGGGGCACATACACTAAGTCGCTCATACCCCCCTGATCGCCAACTCGCAGACCCAATCACACTCCGAGTCACTCACTCACTCACTCACACACACACATTCACATACCCAGTCACACTCGGACTTGCTCACGAGGGTCCAATGCTCATCGCGATCTAGCAAGCGATTATGCACCCCAAGGGCAAACCGCACGAGACATCCGCAGAAAAAAAACAGAAGCAAGGCGATACCCTAGTTCTTCTGGAGTCTCATTGGCCGCACCGTGTGACTCAAGATGGCTACACGGCTGCTCACGATTGGACGGGTTGTCCCCAAGATGAACCCAGACGGCTCAAGACGGCTCCAAGAGGGGGTCAGACGTCTACAAGAAGTCTTGAAGACGCCATCAGAGGGCTCCAAGAGGACCACCAGGAGTTCCCTCGAACCAAAATCATTAATATCCCTCAAGCTATTAAGCGATTTTCGTGTTCTCGCCTTATCCGCCTTCCGACGTTTCAAGACGGTCCACGAGGCACCCGAGATCGCCCCAGGGTGGCCCAAGAGGCCTCCAAAAGTGCCCCAATAGGGCCACAAGGCTGCCTGGGAGGCCCCCAAGACGGCCTCAGAGAACCCCGAGAAGACCCCAAGATGGGTTCCAGAGGGGGAACACGAACCGACAGTTCCAGATTAGAAGCCCCCAGGAGGCCCGAAGGCGGCCACTACAGCTTCCAGGAGGGAGGGCCCCAAGAGGGCCCCAAGAGAGCGCCAAGAGGGCCCCCCAAGAGAGCCCCAAGAAGGCCCCGAGAGGGATCAAACATACAGTACACCCAAAAGGGCATGACCCAATCGCGTGGGGATGTTACCTTCCGGGAGGGAGGGGAGGCGCCGTGTTCCGCTTTGCGGGCTCAACATAGCGGGTGCCCTGGAAGCCCTGGCCGTGTCCGACCCCGAAGAACTTGGCCTAGCAAGGAGGAGTGCAAGGCGTGAGACAGGATAGGTAATCTGGAAGGCTTGCCATACCCCCTCGAGGCTAACTGGAGCACCAAAAGGAAAACTTAGGGCTGGGGGCTCCCCAATTCTCCTACAGGCTCGTTGGCGGCCCCGCGTGGTTCAAAATGGCTACAAAACGTCTCGCAACAAAAACCCAACTGTCCCCAACATGAGCCCCAGACAACAATAAAAAAAGCTCCAAGGCAGGCCCAGACGACTCCGAAAAGCCCTGGACAAAAACACACGCACACATACCAGGAGGGCTTCTCGAGGATTGCAAAGACCCCCTGCCCCCCCCGACACACACACACACACACACAATCACACACACACACACACACACACACACACACGCACGCGCACGCGCACGCGCACGCGCGCACGCGCACACGCACACGCACACGCACACGCACACGCACACGCACACGCACACGCACACACACACACACACATATGTACACACACACGTACACACACAACAAACAAGAATCAGTGTGCTCCCGAAGGTGGTTGAACGACGTTCGCGCCCTCCCCTTTCTCTAGCTTCCGCCAGTCCATGACGAACCAAAGGCATCCCAAATCGCACCAAAACGGCCCAAGAGGCTCCCATGACGGCCTGAGACAGCCCCCAAAAAGGGCCCAAGAGGGGCCCGCGAGAGAGAGCACGAACCGACCTGGTAATAATCGTCGCCCCAAGAAGCACCCAGGAACCCCGAAGGGTGTCAAAGAGGCTTCAGAGAGGGCACCATGAAGCATCCGAAAAATCCCTAGGAGAACCCTGCGCGAGCCCCAAGGGGACCCCAAGAGAGCCCCAAGAGGGCTCAAGAGCCCCACCACGGCCGGAGCGTCGCCACGACGAATGATTCGCGCGCGGGCTCGCCCCTGTGGCGGCCCTCTGCGTTCCCGCGTTGTGGGCTCAATGCCGCCCCCCCCCCTTAGCGGGCCCAGGCCATGGTGGGCTTCAGAGAACGCCGCAAAGTACATTCAACGTTCCAAAGCTGGACAAAACAGGAGGCTTGACCCCTAGGGTGACATGTAACAGGTCGTCTGTCTGCGTGAAGTACTCGCGTCGTGTATGTGTATAGTGTCGTTGCACCTTGTACTTGCATAGTGTGCACGCGCGGGGTATGTACGCACTGTGTTCCGCATAGCGAACGGACGTAGTGTTAGGTCGCGCATGTCCCCCATACAGGCGGGTTTCGGGCGAAACATGAAAACAGTTGCAGCATATCAAAACTGGTCAACAAATACTCAAAACATCGTCCCAAAACAATTTCATCCTATGTTTCAATATTCCTCCTGTAGAGAGACACGCCCGACTAAAATTAACGCAGCGTTTCCGCGCACTGTTTTCGTGCAGTTTTCGCGCCGCCCGTTATCATGATCGGCCCGCGAGCCCTGGAAGGGGTTCAGAACCGCCGCGAGGCCCGCGGGCGCTCCCAAGCAAGGGGGGGGAGTCAGGGGGGGGGGGGGGGGGGGGCGGAGGAGAGGAGGAGGAGGAGGAGGAGGAGGGAGGAGGAGGGAGGAGGAGGAGGAGGAGGAGGAGGGGGAGGGGGAGGAGGAGGAGGGGAAAGGGGAGGGGGAGGAAGGGGGGGGAAAAGGTGGAGAAGGAGGAGGATGAGGGGGAGGAAAAGGAGGAGGTGGAGGAGGATGAGGAGAAAGAGGAAGAGGAGGAGGAGGAGGAGGAGAAACATGACTGCGTGTTTTTTCTTTCTTTCTTTCTTTTTAATATAAAAACATGGGAAATAACGTTCCCACAATCAGGCGCCGCGCTGGTCGGATAACGCCCCGCCGAGAGCGGAGGGCGACGAGGGAACGAAATAAAACGGGAAGACGGGGCCGAGGGGGAAGCAATAATACCCCCAAGGCGAAGAGACGACAGCGCGGGAGGACAGGCCACGAGAAGGAAGGCGGCAGACCGAGGAGACGATACAATAAGTGACAGAACGTCACGAGGAGAGCGGGCCCGCGGCCTCAGAATTCATCCAGCAGAAAAAGACGCAACACAAGAGGCACACACGGGAGTCGAAGAGGACCACGTACCGGGAATAACCCCAAGATCGAAGACCACATAGCAGCGGTAACCTCCGGTTCCTTGTGCACCGCGCCCAAGCCCTTCATCCCGGATCTCTTTCTCTAGCAACATGCCCTCCCACTGAACGGTGCTCGAAAGGTCGCGGCCGTCGAGGAGACGGCAGGCCTGCGCGACAGCTTGCACTTGATCAGGAAAGACCGCGAGCAGGAACCGAGATTCAGCAACCGGAGACGTGATCCGCCCCTTGCGTCCAGTATGCTCATGTTCCAAAACCGTGGAAAAGACCCCGTGAAGAGATCAAGTGGCCACCCGCAGTGCTGACCCATGTCCCAAATATTATCGCCGAAGCTGTCCGTAGGCATATCATCAGGCCAAGCGATCTCACGCACCATGCGTGCATGTACAATACCAGCACCTGGCTGCCCAGCAAGCGACCCCAGGTTACCGAAGGAACGAAGCTCACCCACCTGTGCACGAAGGATGCTCGATGTCTCTGCATCCAACTCCACCGTGGACGCACGCAGCGACATAAAACAAACCTCTCGAGCACTACAGGGGACACCAGGGCCACCCGCTCCATCTTGAGCAGGAAGAGCATCATGAGGGCCCGCACGATCAGGATCACCAGGCTCCGCATGAGGACCACCATGCTCCATTGGAGAACAGCAGCCACCATGATACTGAGGTGCTGCATCAGGGGGTCCACAGTGAAGCTCATGAAGTAGGATACACACATTGCCGCCAGCAGGAATGGATACTGGGGCCTCCTTGCTGAATGGGAGCGGAGGAACTACAAGAAG